TTTCTTCTAGTTTCAAACTTTCTTAGGAGTGTTTTGTTTTGTTTTGCTTTGTTTTGAGACGGAGTCTTGCTCTGTCGCCAGGCTGGAGTGTAGTGGCACCATCTCGGCTCCCTGCAACCTCCGCCTCCCGAGTTCAAGCAATTCTCCTGCCTCAGCCTAATGGCTTAAATGTCCATTCTGTAAAATAGCATTGTGTGGTATTTGTTAGTGCAAGTTATATAGGAAATTGTATCAGATAAATAAATGCCAGTTACAGCCATGGTGATGTTCCTCATTCACATCAATAGGAATTTTTTTTAAGCATCCAAAGCTAAAACTGATATAACTGGTGGCATTATATCCTAATATACCCTTAACTCCTTTAGAAAGCAACTGAGCACTATATACTGAGTGATGAAAACAATCTGACCTTTTGGTCTGATTATCCCACTTTTGTGAAAAATCTTTCCTAAGGAGATTTTAAAAATAATTTAAAAATACCATAAAATTGAAGGTTTTCCTCCTAAGAGCAGAGCTTTGTAAGTACCTAAGTCCGCAACAATATGGGATTGGCTGAGTAGAGTATAGGAATAACACTTGATGGACCATCATTTATCCATTGCACAGTAAATATTCTCCATTGGAGTGGAGATCATTTGTAAAATAAGACGTAACTTGTATATGGATTAGAGCTATTTTTTTAACATGCATAAGAAAAGCAACTTGGCCGGGCGCAGTGGCTCAAGCCTGTAATCCCAGCACTTTGGGAGGCCGAGACAGGCGGATCACGAGGTCGGGAGATCGAGACCATCCTGGTTAACACGGTGAAACCCCGTCTCTACTAAAAAATACAAAAAACTAGCCGGGCGAGGTGGCGGGCGCCTGTAGTCACAGCTACTCGGGAGGCTGAGGCAGGAGAATGGCGTGAACCCGGGAGGCGGAGCTTGCAGTGAGCTGAGATCCGGCCACTGCACTCCAGCCTGGGTGACAGAGCGAGTCTCAAAAAAAAAAAAAAAAAAAAAAAGAAAAGAAACTTAAGGCTGGGCACAGTGACTCACGCCTGTAATCCTGGCACTTTGGGAGGCTGAGGCGGGCAGATCATGAGGTCAGGAGTTCGAGACCAGCCTGGTCAACATAGTGAAACCCCGTCTCTACTAAAAATACAAAACTTAGCCGGGCATGTTGGCATTTGGCATGCACCTGGAGTCCCAGCTACTTGGGAGGCTGAGGCAGGAGAATTGAACCTGGGAGGTGGAGGTTGCAGTGAGCTGAGATCAGGCCACTACACTCCAGCCTGGGTGATAGAGCGAGACTTTGTCTCAAAAAAAAAAAAAAAAAGGAAAGCAACTTAAAGTAATGGTTGTGAGTTTATAATTTGTAATTTGTTTGTTTGTAATTTGCAAATGAAGCATTATTTTGACTCTTGCAAATTTCTGTTCATAAGATATTAAAGGAATGAGTTAGAAGCTTTTATCTATCCCCACCTTTAGTGTGATCACATCAGTATTGTTCATAAACCAGGCCTCTTACTTGCAAGTTCAAAAAATCTATCTCAAAATAGTTAAAAATTAAAAAAAAAATTGTATAACCAGGGATTCACATAGTCAATTAGGGACTACTTGACCCGGGAATTAAGTGATCTCAGAACTTGTCTCAGTTCTGCTCTTCTGTTGATCTCTCCTGAAAAGACACCCTTCATGATGGCAGAGGGAACCACGGGTGGCAGCTCCTGGCTGTCTAACAGTGCTAGAGTACAGCCCTGCCTTTATCCTCTGGTTCCTGGGAAGTCCCAAGAGAAATGTAACTGATTGGCCAGCTGTAAGTCACATGTCCACCCTAAAACCCCTGAGTTGAGGGAGTGCCAGCTTGTTTCTTGGGCTAATTTGACTTTTTTCTCTATATCTTTTCATTTCTTTTATACTAGCTGCCTTGGATTTTTTTTTTTTTTTTAAGATGTAGTGTCACTCTGTTGCCCAGGCTGGAGGGCAGTGACATGATCTTGGCTCACTGCAACCTCCGCCTCCTGGGTTCAAGCGATTCTTCTGCTTCAGCCTCCCGAGTAGCTGGGACTAGACGCACACGCCATCACGCCTGTCTAATTTTTTTGTATTTTTAGTAGAGATGGGGTTTCATTGGATTGATCAGGCTGGTCTCGAACTCCTGACCTCATGATCTGCCAGCCTTGGCCTCTCAAAGTGCTGGGGTTACAGGCATGAGCCACCATGCCCAGCCGCCTTGGATATTTATTATATTTACACAGTAGCACATCTTGGTTTTCTTATATTTAAGAAATTCATATTACATAGTAGCACATCTTGGTTTGGTGGGGGTGGGTGTGGGTAGAGTGGTATGTGTGTGAAGCCTGCTTCTCTTTGATTTTGGTACTTAATTTTCCTGGACTTCCATTGAAAATTCCTGTTTAAATTTATCATGACGTGGGTACTGATTCGTAATATGGCTTCTTCTGTAAACATTAGTTATTTTTTAGATTCAAATGGTGGTAGTATATTTGCTTTCTTTTTGAAAGGAAGTAGTCAGGAATCCTTTTAGAAGCTTTAGGTAGAGGCTGGGTGTGGTGGCTCACGCCTGTAATCCCAGCACTTTGGGAGGCCAAGGGGGGCAGATCACAAGGTCAGGAGTTTGAGACCAGCCTGGCCAGCATGGTGAAACCCAGTCCCTACTAAAAATACAAAAATTAGCCGGGCATAGTGATGCATGCCTGTAGTCCCAGCTAGTTGGGAGACTGAGGCAGGAGAATCGCTTGAAGCTAGGAGGTGGAGGTTGCAGTGAGCCAAGATTGCACCACTGTACTCCAGGCTGGGCAACAGAGTGAGACTCTGTCAAAAAAAAAAAAAAAAGAGGAAGAAGCTTTAGGTAGAGGCAGTTGGGAAAGTCTCTGCCTGTCATTTTGTGCACAAGTGATTTTATTTTTCCAAGTAGCTTAACATTGTCACATCATCTTTTCAAGATGTGGAAAAACTTTAAACATAATTTTTGTGTGGGTCTTTTACATAAGAATAGTTTTCTCCAAAAACATTTTAATAAAGTTCAGTCAAGGAATTTCCATGGAGAATAAAGCAATTGGTTTAGGTATGTAAGTTTTTAGTGATCTGGCAGTACTATTAAAATGGATGATTCGGCCGGGCGCGGTGGCTCAAGCCTGTAATCCCAGCACTTTGGGAGGCCGAGACGGGCGGATCACGAGGTCAGGAGATCGAGACCATCCTGGGTAACACAGTGAAACCCCGTCTCTACTAAAAATACAAAAACTTAGCCGGGCGAGGTGGCAGGTGCCTGTAGTCCCAGCTACTCGGGAGGCTGAGGCAGGAGAGTGGCGTGAACCCGGGAGGCGGAGCTTGCAGTGAGCTGAGATCCGGCCACTGCACTCCAGCCTGGGTGACAGAGCGAGACTCCGTCTCAAAAAAAAAAAAAAAAAAAAAAAAAAAAAAGGATGATTCATAATTCTTTTTAACCAGGAAGTCCCAAAATTATATTCATGTAAGATTCTAACCAAATTACTTAGAAGAGAGAAAAGGATTCTAGGTAGATAAATTTGTGAAATGCTGAATTCGACAGTAATCACTACTAGACTGATTAGTTTTTAATATATCAATGTGCATTTTGATTTTGTAAGAGCCAGGGATAGAGTATATTGTCATTTGACCACTAAATCGCTTTTTAAAAAGTAGAGCAATTATATTAATATGTAGTTTTGGGAAATACCGCTTTAACTGTTACTATGGATCTTGGCCCAGTTTCTTACAAGATTGGTTAAGATAAGTGGCTTGAAATGGACCTTGCTGGGCTGGGCCCGGTGGCTCACCCCTGTAATCCCAGCACCTTGGGAGGCTGAGGTGGGTGGATCACCTGAGGTCAGGAGTTTGAGACCAGCCTGGCCAACATGGTAAAATCTCATCTCTACTAAAAATACAAAAATTAGCTGGCCTGGTGGGAGGCATCTGTAATCCGAGCTATTTGGGGGACTGAAGCAGGAGAAGAATTGCTTGAACCCAGGAGGTGGAGGTTACAGTGAGCCGAGACTGTGCCACTGCACTCCACTCCAGCCTGGGCGACAGAGTAAGACTCCATCTCAAAAAAAAAAAAAAAAAAAAAAAGGACTTTGCTGAAGAATACCATAGATTTTATTTTTTCCCCTCATGACAGTTTTTATTATCCCATATAATGGCAAAGTTTGTTTCATGAAAATTTAAGAGTCTGTTTTGTAATCTTACCTAAATATATTATCCAACTTTGGTGCATGGTGAACTACAGGCAGATTTATCATGACATAGATAGGGGCAAAATTTTTTAGAAACAGCCCTAAGATCTGCTTCAAAACATACTCTTGATGTAACACCAAATTAACCATACTGTTAGAAGGAAGAAATGAGAAATTGAGGGCAAAAGTTAATAATTTTCTAACATATTCCTGTATGTTAGAACACAGAACTTCTATTCAGTCCTCTTAAATCTGCCATGATGAATAGCCCCCCAAAAAACCACAGCTAACTAAATTAGTTCACTTGTTGAATGGAGTTAGAATTAGCCATTTGATTGTCTAAAGAACATTTGCCAAAAACAACTCTTTGTTTTAACCATATTTGATGTATTGAGCTAGTGCCTAACGGTAACTGGGCACAGCATCGCCTGCTACTTGAGATTGTTCTTGAAATGTGCTAGTAATAGCAGCAGAGAGGAGAGTGTGGTTATATTTCTATTTGATAAGTTGAAGGAGGGGAGGGTATGTGTATGATTCATGTAACATTTGTACCAGATTGTTTAGGCACAGATTTTTTATTAAAAGTCTCTGACACAGCCTGGTTTTGTCCACGTGTGTGGAGAGATTCTACAGTTTTGCATTCCCCAGGAGCATTTCTGTATTGTCTTTATTTCCGTCATATTTATTACTAAAAACTTCTCTGAAGACTGTTAAAAGTGATTACAATGGATGTGTATCTAATTTCAGAAATCATCTTTTCTACTCACCTAAAGTATCACATTTTTTTCCTCTTCTTCTATAGATTTAGCTTTGGAGTCAAACCCTTCTGACCATCCAAGGGCAAGCACAATTTTCCTGAGCAAATCTCAAACAGATGGTAAGACAAAACTGTTTTTTCCTTCCAAGGAAAAGACTGAAAACTGTTTCTATTTTATTGGATGTATTATAGAAGGCATTTAGAAGAACTGATGTATTAGTTTAAATTTTTCTTTTCATATGTTCACTTATTTTAATATGTGATATACTTTCTTTTAGTTGTGATTGTTTAGTAATAACATGTAGACCTTCTATTTACAGGTTTTGTCACCTTTTTATCAACGCAATTAATGGCCACCTGATTTAATAACATTGATTTTTTTTTTTTTTTTTTTTAAGAGGCCGGAGTGCCTTTATTGCCCAGGCTGGAGTGCAGTGACGCTGTCTCAGCTCACTGCAGCCTCCACCGCCCATGTTCAAGCAGTTCTCCTGCCTCGGCCTCCCAAGTAGCTGGGACTACAGACATGAGCCACCACGTCCGGCTAATTTTTGTATTTTTATTAGAGACGGGGTTTCACCATGTTGGCCAGGCTGGTCTCGAACTCCTGACCTAGTGGTCCGCCCTCAGCCTCCCAAAGTGCTGGGATTACAGGAGTGAGCCACCGCGCCCGACCAGTATCATGGATTTATACTTATTTCTACACACTTCTTTGACCTCTTTCCCTTGTCCAAAAGAGTACATTTTAAAGATGAACGATAGTTTAAGCTGCAGCTTGGTTTCATTTGAACACATTTTTTAAAAAATCAGTTTGTATACAGGGATTGAATCTGTGATTTTGGCTTCCTTTTATACAATGCTCTAACCACATGAACCTATCACATTCAAATTTATGCTACTCAGAACTTTTAAGCTATTAACTTTTCCATCCTAATGTAATGTAAATGTAAACATGCCCTATGGTGTTTCCCAGAAGGTTAGCCTCAGCAAGCGAAACTTATGTACATTTTCCTTGCCTTGCTTGTTTTAGGATGAGAATCAGAACTGTTTTATTTTTCTGTACTCCTGTTTATCTTCCTTAAAATTATGTTAAATCCTAATTTGTTTGCTAAAAAGCCGTACACAGCTAGGTTTTTCAGTTTATTTCAACAAGAATACAAGAAGTAGGGGTTCTGTAATATTTGAAGTAATGCAGCACAACACAAAATGGGGGGTTGTAAGCTGCATTTTCGAAGCTTGTGTGGACTTTCATCTGTCTTGAGCTGGTCATTTCTGGTTAGGATAGTTTATTTCTTAGTTTCTTTCAGAGCCACAGGCTTCTCACACATGCAGAGTGTGGAAGCAGTAAAAGAAGAGCTATCCCATGCTCCTTTTTCTTCAGTGGTAAGGAGTGTGTGCTTGTGATACTCGTCTAGCATCAAAGGAAGAGGCAGTGTAGGAAACAAAGCGTGGTCCAAGTCCCTCTTGGAGCTTTTATTCTTCTGGCTTTTGTTAAAATGATTTTATGTGCTGAATATACCGTGTTCAGTTAGGTTAACATTCATTTTAACTTTTAAATTTAAGGTAGTTTACTTTCCACTTGTATAAAGACCCGTTTATTTTTTCAGTAACATATTAGTAGATGACCTGTAAGTGGTTCAGGATGCTTGCAGGGATTGTGGTGCAGCTAGAGATTGGCACCTAGTCAGAAACTGGTTCTTAGAGCTGTCAGCAGTTAGATCTTGGTAATTAAGTGACCTTTAAATGTAGAATTAAAAAATACTACTGGATGATGGTTCCGATATGCAACAGGGAAACCTATTAGCTAAATTTCTCATTAAGCATAATTTGTTTTGCCCCCTTCTTTTGTACATAAGGATTCTTTCATTTCTATGTAGTAGAATATCTGTTAGGTCAAAAAGTAAAAGTAAGTTTTTAGATTTTATTTTATGGGATTCATCTTGCCAGATGATTTAAATGATGAGTTTTGTTGGAAATTATTTTTTAAATGGAATTTTTATCTCATTTTGTATATTGGTAATCAGATGATCAGCAACTACTTTTATACTGTGGCATTTATATCAGAATTGATCAGCTAATTTTTTTTATTCTTAGTGCGAGAAAAGAGGAAGAGCAACCATTTAAACCATGTAAGTAAACAGTTGGAAAGTTAAGAAATCAATAATTGAATTAAAAGTATGTCTGCTGTGATTCCATAAAAATATAATGGGGACCCAATACTGTTAGTATGGGCCTCTTTTTGTGGATTTTCTAAATCATTTCTATTTTCCTAGGAATCAAATTTATGCAGGAAAGTCTTTGACTTAGTGTGCCCATTTGTTCAGGGTTTCTGACATTTAAGTTAAATTTCAGTAATTTGGTTGTGGTATAAATATCTGCCTTAAATATTTTTGCGTACATTTTTTAATCTTTTTAAAAATCGAGTAACAAAATTATAATAGTTAACTTCATTTTTAGCAGTATATGTTGACTTCCTGTCATAGCAGGTGAAAGCTTAGCTTCCTCACTCTACCGTGACCTTATTTTCTTTCCTCTATTCCCCCCACATATATCATATTTTAAATTAAATCAGTAATCGATGTTTACATTGTTATGATTATACAGATATTATTCACTGCTGAGTCATATGTTATTCTTACTGTCTCCTTCTTGTACATCCTTTGTTTCTCTTAAATATTTCTGAAATCTGAGCATGTCTGCATGTCTCTTTTCGTAGCCTCCACTAACTCACACAGCCAAATGCAGTGAGTATCCCTTGGCTGGTCTCCTTGCTTTCATGTTCTTTTTTTTTTTTTTTTTGTGGAATTAATTCCCTGACTATATTCATTTGGCTGTTTTCTAACAGCTATTTCCCCCCCCAAATGTTGTAGCATTTGCCACATGCCTATCAAAAGTATTTTCCATCTACTAAAACACATCTGTTCCATTTTTCTCTTGGAGACAACTTTACTCAGCCTTTTGTCATCCTCCTCAAATATAGACGGGCTTTTCCTAAGCCTGCTCTGTGCCTGTTTTCCTGGGATCTCTCTCTGAAGTCACCTGGGATCTCACATAACTCCTCTTGTTTTGGGTCCCTTAAATCCTAGATTCTGTATTCTCTCTATCTTGTTATCCTTCCTAGTTGTACTGGAGCACATTTTCCTGGGAAAGGGTCCATAGACAGGCATAGAGATCTAGCCTGTCCGAAAACCTCTCATTTCTTTTTCTCTCTCTCTCTTTTTTTTTTTTTTTTTTTTTTGAGAGAGAGTCTTGCTCTTGTCCCCCAGGCTGGAGTGCAGTGGTGCAATCTCGGCTCACTGCAACCTCCACCTCCCGAGTTCAAGCAATTCTCCTGCCTCAGCCTCCCGAGTAGCTGGTATTAACAGGCGCCTGCCACCACACCCAGCTAATTTTTGTATTTTTGGTAGAGACGGAGTTTCACCATGTTGACCAGGCTGGTCTCGAACTCCTGATCTCAGATGATCTGCCCACCTTGGCCTCCCAAAGTGTTGGGATTACAGGCATGAGCCACTGCGCCTGGCCTTTTTTTTTTTTGAGACAGGGTCTCACTCTGTTGCCCAAGCTGGATGACAGTGGTGTGATCTCGGCTCACTGTATTCTTAACCTACTGGGCTCAAGTGATCCTCCCATCTCAGCCTTCTGAGTAATTGGGACTACAGGTGTGTGCCACTATGTGCAGCTAATTTTTATATTTTTCCATCGAGATGGGGTTTTGCCCTGTTGCTCAGGCTGGTCTCAAACTCCTGGGCTCAAGCCATCCACCCGCATCCGCCTTTCAAAGTGTCGGGATTACAGGTGTGAGCCACTGCATCTGGCCAAAGCTTCCTATTTCATAAGAGTATAAAATGCTAGAGTATAAAATGCTAGAGTATAAAATGCTAGGTTCACACTAAATTTCATAGTTCTGAAGACATTTCTCTATTGTGTTCTCATTATGGTATTCTTGAATCTGTTGCCATTGTGTGATACAGTACATGTAACCAGTTTTTACATGTCTCTGGAAGCTTTTTAGTGCCTTCTCTGTCCCTGAGATCCTGAAATTTCATAATATGGCTTGCTATGTACCTTTTCTTTCTTTTTTCTTTTTTTTTTTTTTTCTTTTTTTGAGACGGAGTCTTGCTCTGTCGCCAGGCTTGAGTGCAGTGGCGTGATCTCAGCTCACTGCAATCTCCATCTCTCAAGTTCAAGTGATTCTCCTGCTTCGGCCTCGCAAGTAGCTGTGACTACAGGCGCACGCCACCAGGCCCGACTAATTTTTTTGTATTTTTAGTGAAGAAGGGATTTCACCATGTTGGCCAGGATGGTCTCGATCTCCTGACCTTGTGATCTGCCTGCCTCGGCCTCCCAAAGTGTTGGGATTGGGATTACAGGTCTGAGCCACCGCACCCAGCCTGGACCTTTTCTTTTTATTGGGACCAATAAGTCTGCAGACTATGTCTTCTACAGAATTTTCTTATTTCTTTGTTCCTTCTTTTTCCTGATATTTTTAGTATTTAGATGCTGAGCTTCTTAGACCAGTGTTTCTGCATTGATCTTTAATTGTCTCCCCCCCCCCCCACTCTCCCATTTTCTAGTTAGTCTTTTGTTCTACCTGTTGGGCATTCTTTTACTTTATGCTCTAACCCTTCTATTGAATCTTTCATCTTTTTGAGGGTGTTTTAAGAATTTTTTAAAGTTTTCATTTGCTTCTGGATTTTCACAACTCCCATGCATTCCTTTTTCCTATTGTTTTGCTCTCTCTTGTTGGAGGCTTCCCTCACATGTGTGATAGTCCCTGGCTTTCTCTAATTGCAAGCAGGACTTTTGTTAACTGGTGGTTCTTACTGCAAGGACATTGGAGGCCAAGCCAGCCTTTAATTTAGGAGACCTCCGTCTGTTACCTGGTGGGTCTTATCTTATCTTTTCTCTTTTCTTATTTTTCTCCTTTCCCCTTTCCTTTTTCCTTTCCTTTCCTCCTTCCTTTCCCCTTTCCTTTCTCCTGTTCTGTCCTTTCCTTTGCTTTTCTTTCTGACAGAGTCTCATTCTGTCACCCAGGCTGGAGTGCAGTGGCGTGATCTCAGCGCCCTCTGCCAAGATGCAACCTCTTCCTCCTGGGTTCAAGCAATTCTTGTGCCTCAGTCTCTTGAGTGACAGAAATTACAGGTGTGTGCCACCACGCCCGGCTAATTTTTTTTTTTTTTTTTAGTAGAGACAGGGTTTTGCCATGTTAGCCAAGCTGTTCTCGAACTCCTGGCCTCAAATTCACCCACCTCAATCTCCCAAAGTGCTGGGATTACAGGTGTGAGCCGCTGTGCCCTGCTGGGTGCGTCTTTTCTGAGACTGTTCAGTTTCTTCAGAGAAGACTCTCCCAGTTTTCTACCTGGGGAGTACAAGCATGGCTGCTTGTTTTTCAGAAGCAGAATTGGAAAAAGGGAGATAGAGTTCTACTTCTCAGTGTGTAGTTTTTTTTCCCATTTCTCAGATTTCAGTCCTACTATTTCTGAGCCCAGACCTTATATATTCTTTATAAGATGGGAGGACAGGTGGACCTGGGACTCTAACTACATGTTTTCAACTGACCTTGCTGGTTTTGTTTTATGTTTCATTCTACCTTCCAAGGTGCCATGTGTCTTTGAGATTGGAGCTTGCCTTGGGTTCTGCAAGACAAACTAACTTGATCCTGTTCCAGTCACTCTCTCTAGGCACTAAAGTTGTGCTTCCATATCAGTTACCACTCCATTGTCTTTTTCATCTTTCAAGATTTATTAAAAATCATCTGCTGTGGCCAGGTGCGGTGGCTCACGCCTGTAATCCCAGCACTTTGGGAGGCTGAGGCAGGCGGATCACTTGAGGCCAGGAGTTTGAGACCAGCCTGGCCAACATGATGAAACTCCATCTCTACTAAAAATATAAGAATTAGCTGGGTGTGGTGGTGTGTGCCTGTAATCCCAGCTGCTCAGGAGGCTGAGGCAGGAGGATTGCTTGAACCTGGGAGGTGGAGGCTGCCGTAAGCCAAGATTGCACCACTGCACTCTAGCCTGGGCAACGGAGCAAGACTCTGTCTCAAAAATTAATTAATTAATTAATAAACTCTCAAAAATGAATAAATAAAATAAAATAAAATAGAAAAAGTTTCTGCTGTCATTCCTGTTGCCTGATCCTGTGTATGACCTTTATTTTATGTCTTTAATTCTAATGAAATTTCAGGAGAGCGAGGAAATACATTTATGGTCAACCTGCCATGTTTAACCCAAATTTAGAACCTTTATTTAAAGTGTAAATCTAAGTTTAAATTCAACATAATGATACTAATCCAGACATTTTTTAGTTATACCTATAATAAGCATATTATACTCTTCTACTAAGGGCTTAGGAATTGTATTCAGACTCTGCACCCTGCTATATTGTCCCATTACTGTGCAACATAGATGGAGGTGTTTTCATTAATGCACAAAATGTCAGGAATTTTTAAGTTAATTAAAAGTCATTCTTTTTTTTTTTTTCTGAGATGGAGTCTGTAGTAGCATTTACCTCTTATTTTAAATGGGTTAAAATAAGAGGCATTAGGCACAATGGGAAAAGTCAGTGGGTAGGGATAGGAGTTCAACAGGTACTTTGCCTTTAAGGTTTCAGTTGTGACTCAGTAGACTACTAAGTGTGATTATTTTATATCTTTGCTATTCTACCTTAAGTCTACTCAGTACCCCTTCCCTTTCTTGTTACAGATTGTCATTTGTGCAGACTAAATGAAGATGAATGATATATTCTTTGTCCCTATTTTGTGACTACCTGAAATAACATCTGTAAACTTGCAGTAGTGTTTTGCTGTTTGGATTTTTTTAAAAAAAGTATTTATATTTTATATTATTATGTTTGCCGGTAGTTTGTTGAGGTTGTAAGTCAGCATTGGTAAGGCTTTAGCCTAAAATAAAGGAAATTGTTGAGTTTTCCCACAAGATGATGGGGGAATTACCTGTTGCCAGCTATAATTGCTTTGCTCAGAAGCTTAATTCTGCCACCCTCTAGTCTCAAGAGATACAGGGATGCTCTTGATAACAAAAAATTTGGATAGTTGAAAGTTAGTGCTGTGTCTCATGCTACATATTGATTAGCAGAGAGGTTTCTTTTTTTTTTTTTTTTTTTAAGACCAAGTCTCGCTCCATCACCCAGACTGGAGTGCAGTGGTGCGATCTTGGCTCACTACAACCTCCGCCTCCCAGGTTCAAGCCATTCTCCTGCCTCAGCCTCCCAAGTAGCTGGGATTATAGGAGCCCACCACTACACTTGGCTAATTTTTGTATTTTTAGTGGAGATAGGGTTTCTCCATGTTGGCCAGGCTGGTCTCGAGCTCCTGACCTCAGGTGATCCATCCTCCTTGGCCTCCCAAAGTGCTGGAATTACAGATGTGAGCCACCGTGCCCGGCCCCACCTTCCACTTTGAATGAAAGTATTTGAATGAGTCAATTGTTATTTTTTATACTGTATTTGTTTTTTGAGACAATAAAAGTATATACATTAACACACACAGTTAATGTAAACTATATACATTAAATATAATAGCTTAAACATGAGTTTAGATATAGTTGAAAACATTTCTAGCTTGAAGGAGAATTTGGTCCTTCAAATAGTAATACTTTTTAAAAATAGAATATCTGGGACTTTTTGTTAGTAAGAATTAAGTGACTGCAGTAAAAACATCTGAAACAAAATGGTGTTACACTGTATGGATATTTCTGATTATTGGCTACTGGCAATTTTTAAATGCATGCACTTTTAAAAGCAACAACTAGACCTTCTCCCTGCCCTGTCTTTATGTATATGTGTGGGATACTGATGGGAGAGTGTGACAACGTGGTAAAAATTATCATATTAATAGGAAGAAGGAAGGCTCATCTGAATTAGTCTTTTTTTTTTTTTAAGTGTTAAAATTATTAGTATTCTGTGGTTTAAAAAAATGCTACTGTTACTTTCAGCTATTCCATGACTGAGATTTGGTTACTGACCTTATTTTTAAGGAAGAGAATTGTCTTAACATAGTTCAGGCTGTTTCAGTATTTGACTGTTGCACTCTTCCCAAATAAATGGATACTTCTAAAGTGTTTTAAAGATGGTTTATTTTTTAGAGGGCTCAAAAAGTTCATGGTCACCTCCTTGATACAACTGCAGATAAATTCTACTAATTTGTGTCTATAGTAGCATTTACCTTCCAAATTGTAACTGATTTAAATAATTTGTCGAACACTTGTTGAACTCCTAAATTTGTCCCCAGTTCTGTGCTCAGCAGCCAGGGGTATGAGGAGGAAGAGTCCTTCCTTCCCTGGAGAAGCTTACCTTCTTTTTTTTTTTTTTTTTTTTTGAGACGGAGTCCCACTCTGTCACCCTGGCTGGAGTGCAGTGGCGCAATCATGGCTCACTGCAACCTCCACCTCCCAGGTTCAAGCAATTCTCCTGCCTCAGTCTCCTGAGTAGCTGGGATTACAGGTGCGCACTACTGCGCCCGGCTAATTTTTGTATTTTTAGTAGAGATGGGGTTTCACCATCTTGGCCAGGCTGGTCTCGAACTCCTGACCTTGTGATCTGCCCGCATCAGTCTCCCAAAGTGCTAGGATTACAGGCATGAGCCACCACTCCCGGAGCAAGAAGCTTACTTTCTTATGAGGGGATACTCCACAAGCAATTGGTATCATATAACAAGTGGTGAATTAGATGGATGAATGTACCAAAAGGGAAATGTTTTTTGGTGTGGCTGCTGGCAAAGGGATCCCAGAAGGTAGATGGGGCTAGCCTTATTGGGATAAGGAGGAAGAACTAGGTATTCCAGGCAGAGCAGCATGAGTGAGGCAGGCAGGTGCCATGATGCCTGTCAAATAACTTATAGAATAAAATTAATAACATTTTGAAATGGAGAGTGTTCTCTGAGGTTCTCATTTGAGTAATGTAATGGCAGTTTTATTTAAATATGAAGTGAAAGTTAAATTCCTAAAGTTGTTTTTGTCATCTGTTTTTTGGAATATTAAAGTGATACTTTTTCTCCTCCATATAAGAAAACAGGCCCCCTCTCGCTGTGGGTGATGGAGCAGCCCTGGCAGACAGGGCCTCTGTGAAACACTTGTTTCTCATACTGTCTCCTGAACTAATACATTTAGTATTAGTAACTTAGTAAATGTAGTATTAGGCTTTCATTTACCGCAATAAAATGCTCTTATGCAAATATGATTTAAGACATTACATTTTACTGTAGTAAATGAATAATAGAAAATCTCAGCTGCTTTTTATTGCTTAAGAAAGAAACACAAATCTTATTGTAAACTTTTCCCATTAATTTATATAGGGAATGCATAACAGATGCTTGCCAGGTTTGATTATAGGTATCACAAGAGCAGCATTTTATAACCCATTCCTCAAAACACTGTCTGTGGGAGAGCCTCCACTGGGTTTCCCATAGAGCTGCACATGATACCACACTCAAGTCAGTTCATGGAGTGTAAGAAATATCTTAATGCTTTATCATTTGACATTTTAACCAAGGAAAAAACCACACTTTTATAGGTTTAACTTACTGTGACATTTTCTTCTATTTCCCTTCCCCTTCAGGTATCTCCAGGGCAGCTTACTAAAAAGTATAGCTCATGCTCAACAATATTTCTAGATGACAGCACAGTCAGCCAGCCTAATCTTAGAACCACAGTAAAATGGTGAGTACAACTAGGCTGCCAAGGGCTAAGTGACAGACCCCCTTATATGCTAAAAGCATCCTCGCCATCCTCGGTAATTTCAGCCATTTGATTGTCCTTTTCAGCAATCAGTTTAAGAAATTGGTGTCAACTATATATTGATTTCAAGGACCTCAATATGAATTTTCATTTCCTGTTTTAATCTTAGGGTGCATGGTGGAAGGGAAAGCCAGTTAGTGAAGAAGCAATCCCAGAAGAGTGTAGCTATTTATTTAATGCATTTATGTTAAGACAGTGTTGAACATAATGTGAGAAGGAGAGGTGCTTTTTATTGGATGTTTCTGGAAAAACATTAGTCTGTTATGAGTTACAGGCCTAAAACGATGTGTACTGCTTTGGAAACTACTCTTGGAAGAAGGAACAGCTTGTCCTCTGCTGGCACCACAGTGTATCTGCATTTAAATTTTCCCTGTCGTGCATGAGCACCTCTTGGGCACAATCTGAGATGCACTTTCAGAACACCCTAAGATGAACCTTTCAAGTTTATTTAAAAACTAACAACAACAACAAACAACTCCATTGGGGTTGTCAGGAAACTATTAACATCTCCTTCGATTATGAGCGTTGATTTTCAGAACACAGTTTGAGAAGTGCTACACTAGAATATTAATGTCCTTATTCCTAATTTTACTTTTCAGTCTAAAAACGTAACTAGCTTATAAACTTACTTGTTTCTAATGTACTAGCTTTTTTTTTTTTTTTTTAATTCAATTGTCAGTAACTTCTACTTTAAAAGCAAAAAATTTACACTCATAATCATGTCACTTTTCTCTCTCCCTTATAACAGTAGTTGAAATCGAATTGTGTTTCAGCACAAGCTGGACTCTGACTCTGTCTAAAGTCCTGAGCTTTGACACCTACTGAGTAATCATTGAATGTTTGTATTCAGCCAGGGTCCTAAATCCTTGAGTTAAAAAACCAGTCCACTTTGGCTAGAGTCCCTGGCTTCTTTTGAATTCAAAAGATTCTGATGTTTCTGTAAGATTCAAAGTAGTTTTAAAGATTAACTTTGCTCAAACAAGTATAATAGATTTCATGCTTTTCCCCCCCATTTTAGTCTTAATTTTTAGATGTCTACTTTGGGAAGTACAGAAAGTTTTAATTTGTTCTCAGTAAGTTTTAGAAATGGTCATTTGGTATATTTCACTATTGGTTAAATAAAGATTTCACTAGTAGGGCAAATTGACTTTTAGGAAAGATTTTGAAAAACGTTTATCATGGCTTAATAGTGCATTATTCTCATGGGGTGGGTGAGCCATATCAGAATCACTTAAGCAACTTTTTTCAAAATGTATGTCTACAAACACATTCATCTCACCTCCACCTTCCCTTGATCTCTAGGCAGTCACAAGCCTTTTAGGAAAATGAAGAAGGCATGTGAGGCATAATTACACGGACAAGCACATCCCAGATGATTCTGATCTTAACCCTAACTCAGTCGTTCCCAAACTTTGCAGCACGTAGGAATCATCACCAGGGGAACTTTAAAAACAACCCTCAGGCTGGGCGTGGTGGCTCACACCTGTAATCCTAGCATTTTGGGAGGCCTAGGCGGGTAGATTGCCTGAGCTCAGGAGTTCGAGACCAGCCTGGGCAACACGTTGAAACCCCGTCTCTACTAAAATACAAAAAAATTAGCCAGGCGTGGTGGCGTGCACCTGTAATCCCAGCTGCTTGGGAGGCTGAGACAGGAGAATAGCTTGAATCCGGGAGGCGGAGGTTGCAGTGAGTCGAGATCATGCCATTTTACTCTAGCCTGGGCGACAGAGCGAGACTCCGTCTCAAAACAAAACACACAAAAAAACACTCCTCATATCCCAAGTCATACCCAATGCCAATTAAATCAGAATGTCTCAAGTTGGAAGTTAGGCAGTTTTTAAAGCTCCTCAGGTGATTGCAGTGTGCAGAAAGTTTGAGAACCACTGCTTAATTGAGTGTAGGAGGATGAACTCAATTCTATTTGGTGGGACTGTGGGCAAGTCAGTTTTAAGCCTTGGTTCCCATATCTGTAAACTGGGTGTTGGATTAAATGTCATGTAAGGTTCTGTGGTCCTTTTCAGCATATAACTTGAAATTCTGTAATGTTAAAATCAATTTGGACATAAAACTGTTTGAAGCACTATAGAAGTATCCATCTTAGATGCTAATGTTACAGACTTTTTAAAAAAAGTGCTAACATTGTATAGACTTACTTTTAAAATTCAGATTTGCCTTCCCTCAATTATTTTGAGCCTCAGTTTAGAGACTGAGGGCAAATGGAAGCATATAGCTTACCTAAGACAACTCCTTGTTTCCTGATACACAACATCTGTGGGTAATTTAGGACTACAGTAACATATCTGAAAAGTCGTGTCTGTTCACTAATATTTAAACCAATGTGGAAGTACTTGCCATTAATATTACACTTTGTAGTTTTATGCTGCATTGTTAGCACTGCTTATTTCAGGATAGCTATACCTATCATTGGTTTTGTGTGCACTTATTTACTAATAAATTTTCTACTAATGATGCAGAATTGATCGTAAATGATTTTATTTGGTATAAAACACTTTTATTTAAGGGGAAATAATGAAAAATGGGTGAGTAGGTGATAGTTAATTAAATCAACTGAAATGCAGAGCCTAACAACTTAAAAAGCAAAAAATAAAAATAACCAAAAAACCAAACAGTTTAAATTTAAGCGTGCATACAAATAGGTAGAACTTGCATAAGATGAAAGGTTCTATGGGCAGAAGAGCAAATGGGGATATATGTAATTATTTATATGTTATAATAGTCAACAGAAACATGTATTTTAACAGCATGTTACTTAGCATTTTGGTTCTTGTATTTTTGCTGAAAGGAACTAAAACAAGGGGAAAGTACCTATATGGTACTGTTCTGAACTAGAGGATTTCAGGGCCACTAGGAGGTTCCTCCCTTCCCTCATTTAAAAAATGTCTTCAGGCCTAACAAATGTTTAAATCAGTTGTTAAAAATAATTTTTTTTCCTTTCACAGTGTGACCTTAGCAATATATTACCACATAAAGAACAGGTGAGCTCCTTTAAAACCTGTCTTGTTATTCCAGCTAATTACTTTGCATGTTCAGTATTAGGTCATAACTATAGACATCATAAGCTGTAGAGTGCTATTACAGTATTGAACTGAATCATTTGTGGTTTTTCTGGTCCCTAAGACAGTTTTAACTATTAAATTACTGAGGATCCCAAAGAGTAATTGTTTGTGTTGGTTATATTGATATTTATTATATTAGAAATTGAAATTGAGAATTTTAAAAAAAACAACCTATATTTAGTTTTGGTTTCTCAACCTTGGCACTGTTGATATTTTGAGCTAGATAAGTCTTTGTTTCGGGGACTGTCCTGTGCATTGTAGGATATTTAACAGCTGTCCCAGGTTGTGACAACAAAAATATAACCCCTGACTGAGAACAATATTGTTAACACAAATAATATTTTCTCATGAAAAATAACTCTCTTCAACAACAAAGTTGAGTAAAATGTGTGTCATGTATTTATATTTTTGCAACTCTGGTGTCCAGCTTAATAGAAAACAGCTGGATTCTCATCTCTGTCTTTGTAATTAGTTTTTTTTTTTTAATTTCAACTTTTATTTTAGATACAGTGAGTACATGTGTAGGTGTATTACATGGCTAATATTGCACTCTGGTAGTGAGCTGTAATTTGTTTTGAAGAAGTGATAAGGAGATGACCTAGCCTCTTGCAAATACATAGTTGGTAAAAGGTATATTTTTAAAGCTTTCAGATGGTTGTGGGTATTCTTTATTTTTTAATTTATTTTTATTTATTTGGTTTTTTTTTTTTTTTGAGATGGAGTCTTGCTCTGTTGCCCAGGCTGGAGTGCAGTGGCGCGATCTCAGCTCACTGCAACCTCCACTTCCAGAGTTCAAGCGATTCTCCTGCCTCAGGCTCCCGAGCAGCTGGGGTTACAGGCGCATGCCACCATGCCTGGCTAATTTTTGCATTTTTAGTAGAGATGGTGTTGCGCCATGTTGACCAGGCTGGTCTCGAACTCCTGACCTCAGGTGATCCACCCGCCTCAGCCTCCCAAAGTGCTGGGATTACAAGCATGAGCCACCACACCTGGCCAGTATTCTTTAATACTACCCAACACTCCACAAGTGCTAGTTTCTTAAAATGGTTACAGTGGAATTTCATGTATCAATGAATTTTTTGTTAGTACTCACCCATCTGTCTTATACAATAAATGTATCATTTCCCCTTACTTGCTTTTATAATATTATGCATTGGCTATATGGAAAATATTGGTTCACGTTTCTTTTTTCTTTTTTTTTTTTCTTTTTTTGAGACAGAATCTCGTTCTGTCACCCAGGCTGGCGTGCAGTGGTGCAATCTCAGCTCACTGCAACCTCCGCCTCCTGGGTTCAAGCGATTCTCCTGTCTCAACCTCCTAAGTAGCGGAGATTACAGGTACACGCCACCACACCCAGCTAATTTTTTGTATTTTTAGTAGAGACAGGGTTTCACCATGTTGCCCAGGCTGGTCTTGAATTCCTGAGCTCAGGCAATCCGCATGCCTCAGCCTCCCAAAGTGCTGGGATTACAGGCGTGAGCCACCGCACCCAGCCTGGTTCATTTCTTGACAGTGTCAAAAGCTCGCTTTTGTTAGTGTCCCCACCAATTGTATTAAAATATTTTTAAGTATTGAGAAGCTATTAAACTTACATAATAAGGTACAAGTTTCTCCAAATCCTGATTTTTAGTTTGAAAGCTTGAATTTTATCATATCATTGCAACAAATAGTGTTATTCTTGAAGTGACGGGCCCACTTCATTTTTTAAAATTATTTATTTATTTATCTTTTGAGACTGAGTCTCACTCTGTTGCCCAGGCTGGAGTGTACTGGTGCCATCTTGGCTCACTGTAACCTCTGCCTTCCGGGTTCAAGTGATTCTCCTGCCTCAGCCTTCTGAGTAGCCGGGAGTATGGGTAACTGTCACGATGCCTGGCTAATTTTTGTATTTTTAGTAGAGTTGGGGGTTTCACCCTGATGGGCAGGCTGGTCTCAAACTCCTGACCTCAACTGATCCACCTGCCTCGGCCTCCCAGAGTGCTGGGATTACAGGCATGAGCCACCACACCTGGCCACTTCTTTCATTTTTGAGAATGATAGTCGTATTTTCAAGTAAAAATGATATTCTATGGAAAAAAAGGCTTGTTTAGCTCACAATTAAATCACAAGTGCTTTTCCTTGACACAGCCATACCTTGTTATGCAGAATTACTTTATATCTACTTTCTGCTTACTCAGAATAGTAAAAAGAAAGGTCAATATTTAATAATACCATTAATTTTTACTGTTTCATCAAGGATATTCGTAAGTGAAGCAGGTGTTTTTCTTAAACTGCAAGAGGCAGTAAAGAATAGAATGACTACTAGTATAATTTGGTAGCACTGCCTTGATTTCATGCTGAGAAGCCAGCAGTTTACCCACTTTCGCTGTTATACATTCATTACAAATGTCAAACAGTCAAAAAGCAAGCAATATCTTAGTATTCTTTTTTTAAAAATTATTTTTATTTCTAAATATTCAATCAGCTTTCTCAGGTTGAATAGTATTCTTTTTTTTTTTTTTTTGAGACGGAGTCTCGCTCAGTCGCCCAGGCTGGAGTGCAGGGGCGCGATCTCGGCTCACTGCAAGCTCCGCCTCCCGGGTTTACGCCATTCTCCTGCCTCAGCCTCCCAAGTAGCTGGGACTACAGGTGTCCGCCACCTCGCCCGGCTAGTTTTTTTTTTTTTGTATTTTTTAGTAGAGACGGAGTTTCACTGTGTTAGCCAGGATGGTCTCGATCTGCTGACCTCATGATCCGCCCGTCTTGGCCTCCCAAAGTGCTGGGATTACAGGCTTGAGCCACCGCACCCGGCCAGAATAAGTATTCTTATAAGAACAGTTTTGACCTCAAGGACCTCTTAGAAAAGGATCTAGAGGGTCTTCAGAAGTCCACAGACCACACTTGGAGAACCACTGGTTTTATTAAATGAGCACAATGTATTAGTTTTATAAACTTGTAAAGATTATCAAAGGCTTGTCTCTTTTAAAGTAAAAAGGCAATACAGTTTTTAACTCATCAAACTACTTAAAATAAACAAATATATGTCAAGAATGTAATACAGAGAACTAGAGAGGAAAAGCCTGGGAAATCTGAATCTCATTCACAGTCATTAAAGTTCCGAAGATTTTATTGCCCACCACTACTGCTTTGTAAAATGTTCTTGAGTTCCAATGAGGGGTTAGAAGAGTGAAAATACACTTTATTACCATTGCCTGTTAGGGAGGGCCAACACTTAAAGGCAATTCTGAATTGTCATTGTAGAAAAGACTTCACAGTACAGAACCTCATGTGCTGAGTAAAAAGAGGTCAGGAAATCCTCTGAAGGCTGGGATCCAGGAGAAGAATTTGTACAACTGTTCGCTTTGGCGAAGCAAACACCAAAGCAAACAGGAGGCATCTCCTGCCACCCCCAGCAGACATTTTACTCAGTATTAACAGTTCCTGAATTAACTTCTTCAATGCATATTCTTATTTTATAGAGATGCAAATAGATCCTTGGATATTTTTGATGAGAGATCACATCCACTTACAGTAAGTGTCACTTTTTTTGAGGTAGTATTTTTCTCTCATAGAGTTATGTTTATTTCATGCTGGTATTTATAAATAGTCCTAACAAATAAATGTGATCTCTATGAAGATTATTAGAAAACAATTTAAATTTAAATCAATTAAAATGGTGTGAACCTTTAAAAATTCACTTCCTCAGGTATATGATAGCCGCTTGTGACTAATAACTATTGTATTGGACAATGAAGCCTTTGAGCCTTATGGTTACAGGAAACTAAAACTATTTTTTCAAAGTTTATTTAAGAGGATCATGACATGCCGCGATTAGTAAGACTTTCGAGCCTACAAGTAGTTTACATTTTGATAGAGTTCTGTGGAGGGAAAGTGGAAAGGAACATAAAAATTTTCTGAGTTGTGCCTGTATTTTTCCTTAATGATAAATGGTGATGAGTTTTGAATCATTATGATATTTTAAGATGCAATTGTTTATATTTTAAAAACTGAAAGTCATGTCACTCAACCAGAATTATTTTAAGGGGTACATGGGCTCAAACGTCAACACTGCTGGTCTTAAGAGTACTTAGGCTGACCGGGTGTAGTGGCTCACTTGAACCCGGGAGGTAGAGGTTGCAGTGAGCCAAGATCATGCCATTGCACTCCAGCCTGGGCAATAAAAGTGAAACTCCGTCTCAAAAAAAAAAATTTTTTTTTCTTCAGTGGATACTAACATTGCATCTTTTCTTCTTTCAGCGAGAAAAAGTTCCAGAGGAATACTTTAAGCATGATCCTGAGCACAAATTTATTTACAGATTTGTTCGTACTCTTTTTAGTGCTGCACAGCTAACAGCTGAATGTGCAATAGTAACTTTGGTAAGATATTTCTCATTTATAAAGCGTCTTTAGAAATTAGTCTTGTATACAGGGTATGGTCCTATTTTTCAAATAAAAATAGGTTCCTGAAATTATCATCAGAACTTGTAAGAGAAACCTGTCAAAGGAACGTAAATATGTACCTTCACATTTAATCATCATTATGGTTGAACATGTTTCCATTGCTTTTCTCATCACAGAACAGTTGCTACAAAAGGCAGCCAGGGAGATTTCTGGTTTCTCCCCCTACCCATCAATGCACATGTACACATTCAGTGTGTACACATACAAGGCATGGTGGCAGGGCTGGGGGTTATGGAGAGTGGTAACAAAACCATGTGGTTCAGAGCCAGATACTGATTCCAGTGTAGGTCTAAGCCAAGTCCCAGGCTCTATTCCCCAGGTATTTCCCATGTGTGTTGTGATTGAGAACTATTGCTCTAAATTCTTTGTTCCTTGGATGATGGGTTTTAATCATCTCTGCCTACCTCTTGTGCCTGCTTGTGATGTTGCCCAGCAATGTGGTACAAGTAATACTTGGACAAAGGCTTTGCTGATTAGCTTACTAAGCTATAACTGTGTCCTTAACTTTATGTCCTCCATACAGAATTCCTATGGTAAGATTTTATCGTTGAATAATAAATCCTATTCAAGTGGTTAGGATTGTTTTACTCTTCCCCACAGCAAACCTATAGAGGAAGGTCAACTGCATGGCCTGGAGGGAAAGAATACTTAGGTCAGTACCTACTCCGTTAGCATCCATCTGGAATTTAGCAGAGAAGGCTTCTGCTGTGCACTTGAATAGAAACCCCTCAGTGGGTACTGGATCAGATTTAGGCGTTTTCATGGAGCTGTAAGCCATTTGGAACACTTAGGACATACTGTAGAGAAGCAGGAGTGGTGCTTCCAGAGGTAGAGAGACAGGTGATACAGGAGGGAAAGCTGTATAGGAAGAGGGGGAGTTCATTATAGATGGTTTAAGCTCTATGTGCCTGTGAGGTAGCAGAGTGGCAGTGTCCAGTAATCATTTGAATATACTGGACTGGAGCATGAATCTGAGCTTAGAGGTAAGGAATGAAGAGTTAGAGTAGCTGTTCAAATACAGAGAAAGGGTGCAGAATGAAAGTGGACAAGCTAGGCATGGTAGTGCACACCTGTAGTCCCTGTTACTGGGGAGGCTGAGGTGGGAGGATTGCTTGAGTGCAGTAGTTTGAGTCCAGCTTGGGCAAAATAGCAAGACCCCCATCTCTAAAAAAAGAAAAGAAAGTGGATAGAAGTAGATCTCTAAAGACTGTTAGCATTTGAGGGACAAGCCCCCAGATGGAGTGGAAGGAGGAAACCCAGGAGAAGGTTATAAAAGAACAAAGAGTTCAAGATAAGAGAGGCTGTGGTCCCAGTGTTAAATGCTGCCAAGAAGTTTCTGATTCTGTAAATATTCACTGGGTGCCTACTCTGTGCCACTATTCTTGTATTTTGTATTTTTTGTTGTTGTTTGTTTTAATTTTTTAGTAGAGCTAGAGTCTAGCTGTGTTGCCCAGGCTGGTCTCAGAACTGACCTCAGGTGATCCTGCCAGAGTGTTGGGATTACAGACGTGAGCTACCAAGTGCTAGAGTAGAGGAGAGGATTGAACAAAATTCTTGCCTTTACGAGCTTATGTTCTAGTGAGGAGGACATTTTTTCAGGTAGTGGTAAGTAGCAAGAAGGTGAAGCAGCATAAAGGGATACAGAGTGACAGGAGGGGCTCACTATTTTAGATAGAATGATCAGGAAGAACCTCTCTAGAGGTGACATTTGTGCAGTGACCTGATCAAAGTAGGAAGGTAAGGAGTGCCGGCATTACAGGCAGTCAGACAAGTGCCAAGACTAGACAGGAACATTGTGTGTGTGTAAGACTAGACAGGAACATTGTGTGTGTGTGTGTGTGTGTGTGTGTGTGTGTGTGTGTGTGTTCAAGGAACAAACAGCAAGGTGTCCAGTGTGGTTGGAGTGAGTTGGAAAAAGTGGAGGAGGTGAGGTCACATGGGCAATGCCACATACAACTCATAGGGCCTTTTGGCTTGCAGGCCACAGGAAGGTTTTGTTTTGTTTTGTTTTGTTTTGTTTTTGAAACGGAGTCTTGCTGTGTCACCCAGGCTGGAGTGCAGTGGTGCGATCTTGGCTCACTGCAACCTCCACCTCCCAGGTTCAAGCAATTCTCACTGCCTCAGCCTCCCGAGTACCTGAACTTACCAGCGCCCGTCACCACGCCTGTCTAATTCTTTTTTCTTTTTTTTTTTTTTTTTTTAAAGTAGAGATGGGGTTTTGCCATGTTGGCCAATCTGGTGTTGAACTCCTGACCTCAAGTGATCCACCTACCTTGGCCTCCCGAAGTGTTGGGATTACAAGTGTAAGCCACTGTGCCTAGCCAGGAAGAAGTTTTTATTCCAGTTTGATGGGTACTTTTGGTAGATTTTGAGCAGGGGAGTGAAGTGCTCTTAATTTAAGAGGTTATGCTGATGGCTTGAGAGAGTAGACCGTAATTGGCAGAATAGAGGCAGAGAAGAGAGTCAAGAAGCGACTAGGGTGATGTAGGTGAGCAGTGACAAATGGCGAGCAGCCTACCAGTGAAGGTGGACATAGCAGGAATTGCACACAGTCTGGAGTGGGGTAACTTGAGCGTAGGTATTTGGCCTCAGCAACTAGGTGAATGGAAATGGCCTGTACAGTATTAGGGAAGACTTGGGGAGTGGAGCAGTGGGATGAAGAGCTCTGGCTTATAAGTGTGAAGACTCTGGGGACCTTGGCAAGAGGAGTCTCAGGAGAGTGACAGCAGCAAGGGACAAATAGGAGTGGGTTAAGGAGAGATGAGAGATGAAAAGCTGATACCAGGGCATGATGCTTTGAGCAGATGAGAGGACACATCCGGGGAACTGTGGGGAGGGGGATGGGAACAAAGGAAACACACTGGGGAGAATCTCTGGCAGAGAAGGAGAAAGCCTTCAGAAAGATGCAATTATGGGGACAGTGTTCTGCACAAGTGGAATGGGATCAACTGCACTAGTGGGAAGAAAAGAACTCACTGACACAGGAGGGCAAGTGGTATCAGTGAGCATCAGCACATCATCAGCTTACCAGTAAAGGCAACAGGAAGTTGAGAGATTGTCTATGTTGTTTCCCTGTGGTCTAATTATTCCCATTGAGAGTTGAACCCTGTGAAAGAGGTTCATTCTTAGGATACTGCCAGTGCAGAATTTTGGGGGAAAAGGAACAGAATCTGTCTTAAGAACATGTCATGTTCAATACCTATTTTTGAAAACACAGTTGAGTTTGGAGAGTACTGCCAGATCTCAGCTGCCTATCTGATAACCTTCAGACAATAAATAAGCTCTGTTAAAATGAACTTTTTTCAGGCTCGGCACAGTGGCTCATTCCTGTAATCCCAGCACTTAGGAAGGCTGAGGTGGGCAGATCACTTGAGGCCAGGAGTTTGAGACCAGCCTGGCCAACGTGGTGAAACCCCGTCTCTACTAAAAATGCAAAAATTAGCCAGTCGTGCTGGCGGGTGCCTAGCTACTCAAGAGTCTGAGGCAGGAGAATCGCTTGAACCCAGGGGGCGGAGGTTGCAATGAGCCAAGATTGCATCACTGTACTCCAGCCTAAAAAGATTTCTTCTTGTCTCGATACAGAGTTCAAGTAGCATACAGACATATTCTTCCACAGAGAACCCTTTGAGGTGACAGCAAATTACAGCTTACCTCTGTAATCTTTACTTAGCTGTTCACTTTGCTCAATTCTTTGAAGGATGTTTGGTAGATGTAAAATAATTCATGAAGTTGTCTGATAAACTGCTTGGCAGGTTTAGAGAAATACCAGGAGTCCAGAGACGTCCTTTTGTCCATGTGTGTTCCTTGTGGAGGCACTGAATACGGGGAATATTTTATAGCCCTAAAGACCTGCCCCTATCATGCTGCTCTGCAGAGCAGCCACTGGGTGGCTCTCTTGACCAGCAGTTCTTCAAGCTAGTGCCACAAAAGGGTTAGTTACTGTGAAAAGGAGAAGGTAAAAATGTGCTCAGTATTACTTCATATTTGAGCATAATATAACTACCTGTAAAATTACTATCTACTAACATTGCATCTGGTAGGCACTCAGTATTTATTGAACAACTCTATTACGAGTGTGGAGGTGATAAGAGTGCCTCTCTTCATGATGCCCTTTGCTGAGATGTCCAGTCATTCCTGTGACCAAAATCGGGCAGGAAATGTATATGGGCAGAGTAGGCAGCACAGATATCTGACCTACAACTGTGATTTGGTGTCTCGCTTTGGCTGACTAAGCAAAGTCTCTGTAGAATATAAGAATAAAAGGCACTTATTTTCTGGTCAAAAACAGAAGAAATCTGTTAGTCATGAATTCTTATCAAAGCATTTAGGGGCCAGGCGCGGTGGCTCATGCCTGTAATCCCAACACTTTGGGAGGATCGGGTGTATCACCTGAGATCAGGAGTTCGAGACCAGCCTAACCAAAATGGAGAAACCCCGTCTCTACTAAAAATACAAAAATTAGCTGGGCATGGTGGCGCATGCCTGTAATCCCACCTATTCGGGAGGCCAAGGTAGGAGAATCGCTTGAACCTGGGAGGTGGAGGTTCTGGTGAGCTGAGATCGCGCCATTGCACTACAGCCTGGGTAACAAGAGCGAAAAAAAAAAAGCTTATCAAAGCATTTAAACTGAACTAAAATCAAAGACCAGTGTTCTATTTTACAGGTTTACTTAGAAAGGCTTTTAACTTATGCTGAAATCGACATTTGTCCCACTAACTGGAAAAGGATTGTTCTGGGAGCCATTCTTCTTGCCTCAAAGGTTTGGGATGATCAGGCTGTATGGAATGTGGACTACTGCCAGATCCTCAAGGACATTACAGTTGAGGACATGTGAGTTTCTTAAGGTTTTGGTGAACTTTCTAACCATTTTCCAGTATCTTATTTGTTTCTGTAAAGTTAACAAAGAATATTTGTAAAGGTTACATTATGCAGATAATGGAAATAGGCATAAGACTATATATTTCTATCTTTAGTATAACAGTTCACAACAGAGCAAGACTCTGTCTCAAAAAAAAAAAAAAACTATATATTTTCCATCATTACTTGATAGGTTTTGATGTGTGATAATCTGCTTGATAAATTGAAAAGTATTTTTCGGGTGGTTTTTGGCAAACATCTTACAAGTATACTACCAGAACAACATAGTACAGTAAATATGTTTATTTTATTTTATTTTTTTCTTTTTTTGAGACGGAGTCTCGCTCTGTGCCCAGGCTGGAGTGCAGTGGTGCAGTCTCGGCTCACTGCAACATCTGCTTCCCAGGTTCAAGTGATTCTCCTGCATCAGCCTCCTGAGTAACTGGAATTACAGTGGGATTACAGGCATGCGCCACCACGCCTGGCTAATTTTTGTATTTTTAGTAGAGACAGGGTTTCACTGTGTTGGTCAGGCTGGTCTCGAACTCCTGACCTTGTGATCCGCCCACTTGGCCCCCCAAAGAGCTGGGATTACAGGTGTGAACCACTGCACCTGGCCCCTTTATGGCTTTTAAAAAGTTATCTGCCAGTTAAAGCTCTTTGCTCTTTTTCTTTCATTCATTCATTCATTTATATTTTTTCATGTGACCAGTAGGGTATAAACAGCCCTTAAAGGGCATATGTCTGGCCTTTGAAATAATTGTTTGGCCACTATTAAGGTCTTAGGGCCTCTGGACTATTGAGAAGTTACATAGCTTCAACCGGCGTCACACATTGTATATTTGCTTTTGCTAGTCTTTCCACATTTTATCTGAAGGTCTGTTTTTACAGAAGCCTTGAGATATGAAGATCCCTGTGCCCCTGACCCCTCCCCATTAGGAGTGTTTTTTGTATTTAGAAATTGGTCTGATGAGTTAGGAAGCTCCATTGTTCCCCTTAGGCAGTCTGAGAAACACTGCTGGGGCATCACCCAATACTCACCACACTTGAGAGGCTCTCTGGGTACTCCAACAACCACAGCACCACTTTGGGGGCCTTGAGTTACCTATGAGAGTACAAGGAGCCTTACTGAGTCATGGAGTTCCTCACAAATGGCACCAATATGATCCTGAAACACCAGCTTCATCAGGGCTTCCTTCCAGTCTGGCCTCATGACTGCTGTGAAGGGAAGGGCCTTGGAGCTTGGTAGGCAGGGTGAGCCAGGGAGGCATTTCCAGCAAAGCTCTTAGGGTGCCAACTGGACAGTGAGAATGGCTTTGTGGGTGGCATTTAGAAAAATATGAAGGAGCACCTCTTGATGATGTTGAGTAACAGAGGAAGATCAAGGTCATGACAGGCAGTGGCAAGACTTTGTTTTTATTGCCTTTGCCCATTACTCCATATGACTGTCATTCAGAATTACCATACCATATATTCACAACTGAAGTGAGGATGCTTGTGACTAAAAAGGAACCAGTGATTGTGGTAGCTGTTGAAGTGGCTTTTGGTGAAGTTGACCACTTTACTAATGGTGTAAACCGAACAGCCCTAGTGATATTGCTGGTAGCCATTTTAGCAAAGGGTGTGACAGCAAATGAATTTGAAACAAATGGAAGTACTTTTGGAAGTTGCAGAAGCTAAAGTGACTTTGATCACTGCTGTCATTAGTCTGCAAACTGGTTTCTTCAAGGAGGCAAAATTTATAATTATGAACACTAAGCCCTACCATGATGGCAGCTAAAATGTTCTCAAAACCTGCAACTGAACTGGCTGAAGTTCTCGTTCTAGATACAAGATCAGAGAACATGCAGGGAAATGTGCAGGTTTCTACAGATGTAAGCTTCAGGAGCAGCAGTGGCAGGGGCCAGCTCCAAGAAGACCAGTTCTAGATAGTTGCTGTTTGTGTATGCCCAGGGCAGCACCAGGAGCTATGCTACAACCAGGCAGCTTTCGTTTATGATCTTTGGAAAGCATTTCAACAAACCGTTTAATATACATTTGTCTCATCCCCCTGCTGTTGACTATTTATAGTGGTCTCATTTGAGTCTAAATTGAAACAATTTTAAATTGGTGTCTATGAGGTTATTCTTAAAATTTTTCAACATCTACATGTCCTGTTAGAATATATTTCCCTTTAAAAGAATAAGTTAAACTGAGCAGCTGCTATTAGATGGTTTGCTGTGCCTGTAAAGGGTATGCTATTCAGCCACCTATCCATTTAAAAAACAACAAAAAACGTAGAAGATGCATGTTCTGTAGGCATAGTGCTTTTCTTCAGTGATTAAACCTCTATTAATACGTGTGTTAATCCTATGAAGTACTGTATTTCTACACAGTTAAAATGTATTAGTGGAAAAAATATAAAAGGGATTGTGAAGTGCATTTATTACTGTAGTAAATTAAGTCCTGATTAGCTGATTATCAAAACATTATCTGATTTACATTTCTATAGGCTTATGGACATATGAACAGGAAATTAATTTTGGAAGTAGGTTCAGTTGGGTTTTTAAGCTCAGCAAATGAGAAAACCACATCTCTGCTCATATTAACTGCTCTCCATACAGGAGATCATCAAGCATTTGTTGACTTAGCCAGTGGATAAAATATTAAAACTTTAAACCCAAGAAACCAAATATGTTGTTTAGGTATTTATCATTTTTATACAGTTAAGTACTTGTAGGGATTACTGTGACAGTGGTTAAGATTTTCTCTAGTTTTGTGTTTATTTGCTTAAGCATTTGTCAGGGGCAGCTGTGTGGTCATGTGGCTGAGTACTACTCCCAGCCCTTTCCTCTCCCACTGCATTCAGCTCACTCCTACATTCTGTTCTGACCAGGATGGTAGATACTGAGCACCTCAGGGTTTCATTCCTAACTCAGAAGAAACACTGAGTTTTTAAGTCCAGTGACCTACCACGAGGCATATCATAAAATGGGTTTAGTCTAGCCGAGACATCCACCTTTGATCTTTCTGCCTTCCAAAGTTTAAAGAATATCTTTACCCTGTCATAGTGACAGTTTCTCACCTTCATAATATATTAAAGTGAGCAGAAACTTGCATTATGCCCTTTGACATAGCCTCATGCGCTGGGACAGGGGGAGGGGATTCCCTTCCCTGTAATGTAGCTTGCTTATTTATTTATTTGAGATGAATCCTTGTTGCCTCAAGGGTTTTTCCCCCTCAGAGATAATAGCAGTGGCTCTCGATGGATCCATTTGTTGCCGTGGTGATATGCCCACTCCTTTTGTTGGTGCTTCTCAACTTCAATAAGCCCCTTCCTGTTATCAGCCCGGTGAAAATGTCTGCAAGTTCTTCAGAGCTAATAAACAGCATACATCATTCCTTTCATCTGATCACTATAGTGGGGCCTTGTGAGTGAGCATGAAGTATGAATTGTACAGCTGCACTAATGGAACTCTGAAGAATGAGGCCCGAGTCAGCAGCACAAGTGTATCAGAGGCCGTAACCTTCAACCTTCATCCCAGTCCCAGAGTGCTGGGATGCAGAAGGGACCACAAGTAACTGTACCTTGTGTGAACATTAGTATGTTAATATAACTGGGTAGCCTATATTTTAAAACAGAGTTTAGAGCTATTCTAGTCACTCAGAATGATATTTTTGAAGATAGCCCACTTGACTGACATTGTCCTGTGCTGGTTCTGTTGTGTTCTTCCTCCTCCAGGAATGAAATGGAAAGGCATTTTCTGGAGCTTCTTCAGTTTAATATTAATGTTCCTGCCAGTGTTTATGCCAAATACTACTTTGACCTTCGCTCCTTAGCAGATGACAACAACCTGAATTTTCTATTTGCTCCTCTTAGCAAAGAAAGAGCACAGAACCTAGAGGTAAGGCTGTGAAGTCACTAAGTGGGGTTTTCCATCAGCCACCAAAGCCAACATCTGTGACTAAATCATATTAAGTAGTGATTAGGAAAATGGAAAGCTTTAAAATTAACGAACACACTGAAGAGCTTATTAGCCCTTTGGCGTCAGATTTCCTGTGTCTTTTATGGTTTAGACAAGGATCAACATTATTTAAAAATTATACATATTAACTCTTCTGTGACCATAATTCAGAATATTTTAAATCAAATTTAATCTGTTGTTCATGAGGCTTCCTTTTGAACTTCTACCCTTTCATATAACCATACATGAATAATTTTTTTAACTGGGCGCTGTGGTTCATGCCTGTAATCCTAGCACTTTGGGAGGCCGAGGCAGGTGGATCACCTGAGGTTGGGAGTTCGAGACCAGCCTGACCAACATGGAGAAACCCCGTCTCTACTAGAAATACAAAATTAGCCGGGCATAGTGGCACATGCCTGTAATCCCAGCTACTCGGGAGGCTGAGGCAGGAGAATCACTTGAACCGGGGAGGTGGAGGTTGCAGTGAGCCGAGATCGTGCCATTGCACTCTAGCCTGGGCAACAAGAGCAAAACTCCATCTCAAAAAAATATATATATATACACACAAAAAAATATTATTCGGGTATGGGAGCGCATGCCTGTAATCGCAGCTACTTGGGAGGCTGAGGCATGAGCATCGCTTTAACCTGGGAGGTGGAGGTTGCAGTGAGCCAAGATCGCAACACTGCACTCTAGCCTGGGTGACAGAGTGAGATTGTGTCTCCAAAAAAAAAAAAAAAATGTTCTTTGTGACTATATTCCTAATTTTATCTACATACATAATTCATTTGCCACTCTTGACTGTCTTACTCTGTTTGTAAATTCATGTCATGGTTTACATATCACAGTGCAGTCCTGTGAGTTTTTTAGACAAAGGATTAGTGGGTAAGCCAAGAGACCTATACCCTTCACTAATATAGGGTGCAAGTGTTTCAAATGCTGGATGTAAGTGCTGGGCATGGTGGCTCAAACCTGTAATTCCAGCACTTTGGGAGGCTGAGGCAGGTGGATCACTTGAGATCAGGAGTTCGAGACTAGCCTGTACTAAAAATACAAAAATTAGCCGGGTGTGGTGGCGGCGCCAAGTTACTCAGGAGGCTGAGGCATGAAAATTGCTTGAACCTGGAGCCGAGATCATGCCACTGCACTCTAGCCTGGGCGATAGAGCGAGGCCCTGTCTCAAAAAAAAACAAAAACAAAAACAAAAAAAAGAAAAACAAATAATGTAGGAAGTACATGGGTTTTTTAATGGAAATGGTAACTTTATGGGGCAAAGTAATATTTATGGCTTATGACTCTTGGTGAGTATACAGCAGAATTACAACTGAAGTGGACACATACTTTAAACTGACACTTTCTGTGGCACCATGGTGGTACTTTAGAATAATACGTATTTCTAGACTGGGCTCAGTGGCTCACGCCTGTAATCCCAGCACTTTGGGAGGCCGAGGCAGGTGGATCACCTCCTGGCCAACATGGTGAAACCCCGTCTCTACTAAAAATAAAAAATTAGCCAGGTATGGTGGCACATGCCTGTAATCCCAGCTACTTGGGAGGCTGAGGCAGGAGAATCGCTTGAACCTGGGAGGTTTCACGCAATTGCACTCCAGCCTGGGCAGCAGGAGCGAAACTCCGTCTCAAAAAAAAAAAAGAAAAAAGAAATAATACGTATTTCTACCATAATTAACGTGCATGTGAAGTAACACCTTTTGGTGCATCAGTCATTAGACCTCTTATATATTCCAATATAGTCCAGCACATGCCTGCCTCATTAAAATGTGCTTTGAGTGTATAATAGCTAATAAGGATTGGGTAGAATTTGAATAGCTGAATAAACTTATTTTTTTGCACAAGTGTACGTTTGTTATATTTAAGGGATAAGTGCACAGGTAACAGATGCTATTGCTGTTAGGAGCCTATCACAATACCTTTGACATCATTGGGAATCCAACTTCTTAATAATATAATAAATTCCCCTTTATTCTCTGGGAATCTAATCGTAGCCCTTAAAGGATATTACATTGGTGAATTGGCAGGAAGTAGTGTCCCCAGAACCTGGCAGTGTAAAACTCAGCCAAAGTAGCTGTAACTGTGAATTATGTAAAGGAGTCTACATGTGTGGCTTTCATCAGTGTGCTTTTTCAAATGTGGGAACCCTTTTTAAAATTGTACCTGTTTTCTATTTGATTGACTTTCCTAGGCTATTTCTAGATTGTGTGAAGACAAAGACTTGTGTAGAGCCGCTATGAGAAGGTCTTTCAGCGCTGATAACTTCATTGGTATTCAGCGCTCCAAAGCCATCCTCTCTTAAAGGGAGAAATGAGGGGATATAACGTCACGCGACCTTCTACAAAGACTGGAGAAATATCACCTTTCCTGCTCAAAAACCAGCAAAATTAGTATTTTCATCAAAAGGAAAGATCTCAAATTCAAGAGACTCATGGACAACAAGGATTATACTCCATAGGAAAGAATGGGACCTTGTCAATGCAACAGAACACACTTCTGATCTTTTTAATGTAAACAGAGTTACAAAAACCACTCCAAAGTGAAGGCTCCCATCCCACACACAGATATTTACTTACTGTGTGGGCCCGATAGCTGTGAACTATGTAAGGTTTTTTAAACAATAGTTTAAATTTTTAAAGACACTAACCATATAACTTTTATGTTTCTTCCCGTTTTTCTTCCTCCCCCCCATTTTGCTGCATATGCCTTTCAAATCAATGCAGTATTACCATTAAAACATGGGACTCTTCACTAAAGCCACTTAGGAGCAGACTGCAGCATTGTTAGGTATTGAAGGGTTCTTTCTCCCTTCTGTTACCATTGAAGCTGCTAGTCATTGGCAATCATTTTAAACCAAAAAGCTGCTGGATAACATTCGTCATTCATATTTTTTGCAAGCATTACTTTAGCATTTTAGCATGTTTGGGATCATAAACAGGAAGTATCAGTTATTGATATCTACTTCTATTGGGGTCCATGTTGCATTTCTTGTGAACTAAATGGTGCTTCTCATTTTCTGATAATTTTTCTCTTGTTAAATAAAGGTCTTAAAAGATTTTTTCGGCCGGGTGCGGTGGCTCAAGCCTGTAATCCCAGCACTTTGGGAGGCCGAGATGGGCGGATCACGAGGTCAGGAGATCGAGACCATCCTGGCTAACACGGTGAAACCCCGTCTCTACTAAGAAATACAAAAAATAGCCGGGCGAGGTGGCAGCGCCTGTAGTCCCAGCTACTCGGGAGGCTGAGGCCGGAGAATGGCGTGAACCCGGGAGGCGGAGCTTGCAGTGAGCTGAGATCCGGCCACTGCACTCCAGCCTGGGCTACAGAGCGAGACTCCGTCTCCAAAAAAAAAAAAAAGATTTTTTCATAATGCCAACCAACATGGTGGTTCAGTGATGATGAAAAAAAGTAAAGCAGTTTTAAGCTTTAATATAGTTTGGGCCCTCCAGGGCACTGCAGCATGAGTATAAATGCTATAAACCTTTAAAAAACATCGTTTGAAAGTTTTTTTTTTTTTTTTTTTTTTTGAGACGGAGTCTCGCTCTGTCGCCCAGGCTGGAGTGCAGTGGCGCAATCTCGGCTCACTGCAAGCTCCGCCTCCCGGGTTCACGCCATTCTCCTGCCTCAGCCTCCTGAGTAGCTGGGACTACAGGCGCCCGCCACCGCACCCGGCTAATTTTTTCTATTTTTAGTAGAGACGGGGTTTCACCATGGTCTCGATCTCCTGACCTTGTGATCCACCCGCCTCGGCCTCCCAAAGTGCTGGGATTGCAGGCGTGAGCCACCGCGCCCGGCTTGTTTTTTTTTTTTTTTTAAGAGATAGGGTCTTACTGCGTTGTCCAGGCTGGAGTGCAGTGGCTGTTCACAGGTGCAATCATAATGCACTGCAGCCTAGAACTTCCTGGCCTTAAGCCATCTTCTAGCCTCAGCACACAAGTAGCTGGGACTAAAGTGCACCTAGCACTTGTCTCCTGAATATTAAGCTTTTAATTTTTTGTTTTGGTCACTCTTGATAGCAGACATTGACTGAAACAAAAAATTAAAAGCTTTATATTCAGAATTGGCAAGATGAAGTTGGTGTGGTGGTGCACGCCTATAATCCCAGCTACTTGGGAGGCTGAGGCTGGAGGATTGCTTGAGGTCAAGTATTGGAGGCTGCAGTGTACCATGATGGTGCCTATAAGAATAGCTACTACACTCCAGCCTGGACAACGTTATCAAGACCCCATCTCTTAGAAAAATGCAAAATTAAATGCAAAAGAAATGGGCTGGGCATAGTGATTCATGCCTATAATCTCAGTACTCTGGGAGGCTGAGGTGGGAGGATTGCTTGAGTGCAGGAGTTCAAGACCAGTCTAGGCAACATAGTGAGACTCTGTCTGTAAAAATAAGTCAGTAAATAAAAATAGTTGATATGGTGGCATGTGTCTGTAGTCCCAGCCACTCTGGAGGCTGAGGTGGGAGGATCAGTAGAGCCTAGGAGGTCAAGACTGCGGTGGGCCATGATCATGTCACTGCACTCTAACCTGGGTGACATCCAGACCCTGTCTCAAAAACCAGAAAAATGTTCAAACATGATTTTGTAAAGGTTTGTAGCATTATATTTCTACAAGTATCAAAGCTTAAAATTACACTGAACTTTTGGAATACCTTGTATCTCCATAATAATGCCCTCCTGTTTTTAAAAGTAGTTACTTGCAGAGTTGTGCTCTATATGCTTTGATCACCGAAGTTTCTTTAAAGGAAGATTTTGAAGAGCAGTGTTAATTAACATGTAATAAAAGGAATTGGACCCTAATGATAGAAGGTGATATGAACAGCTGATATGAACAGCTGTTTTATCGTCCTACATGCTACCAAGCTGTAGGTGTCCCATTAAGTCCTGCTACTTAAGAAATAACTTACGTAACCCTTAGGAACTCTTACTTCAGGCTTTAAAAGGCAAGGAGCAAATAATTTTAGGAGACCGATAATGTCACCTAAATTTGAAATAGTAAAAAGATTAGTGTTTTCAACCATGTGAAATCTATTTCTCCTACTTTCTCAAATCTAATCCTAGGAATCTTGCTTATAAACAAAACATTTCTGGGCCAGGAATACTTCCTCTATTATAGCAATGCTTCACATCATATTGTGCTGCAGTTTCCATCATTTTTAAAGGACAGAGACATAAATGATAAATAATGGTATAAAAATATTACAATCTACCACCTCAAAAAAACACAAATATAATGTTTATGGAATTCAGAGCTTGGAGATTCAAGTATTGATTGCAGTTTTATTTTGAAAAGAATGCTACAATTTATGTGGTTTTTATTTCTCATGTTTATATTAAAAGCTAATAAACTCTATTTTAATTAAAATATGGCTAGTGTGTTTGTAACACTTCTATTCACATAGTGTTACATCTCTGCCCAGCCTAGTTTTAAGTCAATCCTGATATGTCTTTAAAGCATTTTCAAACCAACCATAATTTGATTTGATCCATGCCTCTAGTTAAGATGTAGTGATCCATTTCTTTTGCATATGCTCTTTTCAACGTGAAGATAATTTATTATACTTAAAATCACTGTCTCGCCACGATACTTAATGGCATAGTGTATTAGATGGCATCTTGAATAGTTGGTTATCGTGTCTGAGAGGGAAAAGCACATTAGAATATGAAATTAAGTAAAATGTACCAAAGAGAGAAGAATTTCAGGAATAGCGTAGAATTAGAACAAGAGGTATTTGAGGTTATCAGACAGTTAAACAGGAAAGAGAATGGAAAGACAGGAACTAGAATTTGTGTTGCTGTTGAGAGGGTGTCTTAAGCCACATAATTTGACTTTAACGTGCTATTTTCAAGCTTACATTTCAGTTAAAAATATACCAAGTCACTATTAGGTTTCTTTAGAACTAAGAGTAGCCACTCAGCTTTAGCAATTCTCACTAAATCCTGACAGTATTGCAATATTTCCATCCACTTTAATTCTTCATTACCTAAAGTCAAATATTTAAGTAAATGATCGTGGCCAGGCACGGTGGCTTACGCCTGTAATCTCAGCACTTTGGGAGCCCAAGGTGGGTGGATCACTTGAGGCCAAGAGTTTGAGACCAGTCGGCCAACATGGTGAAACCTCGTCTCTATTAAAATTACAAAAAAGACTGGGTGCAGTGGCTCACGCCTGTAATCCCAGCACATGAGGTCAGGAGTTCACGACCAGTCTGGCCAACATGGTAAAAACCTCGTCTCTATCAAAAAAAAAAAAAAATAGCCAGGTGTGGTGCATACCTGTAATCCCAGCTACTCGGGAGGCTGAGGCAGGAGAATCCCTCAACTCTGGAGGTGGAAGTTGCAGTGAGCTGAGATGGCACCACTGCACTCCAGCCTGGGTGACAACAGTGCAACTCCGTCTCAAAAAAAATAAAATTACAAAAACATTAGTGGGGTGTAGTGGCACACGCCTGTAATCCTAGCTACTCAGGAGGCTGACACAAGAATCGCTTGAACCCAGGGGGCAGAGTGCAGTGAGCTGCGATTGCACCACTGGACTCTAGCCTGAGCGACAGCATGAGTCCATGTCTCAAAAAAACAAAAAAATAACTGATCACTGTGTCTTGATAAGTTGCCGACTAGGATAAATGATCTGATTTAACTTAGAAAAAAAATGTATCATACGTCACTTTATAAGATGGTTTGCACCTTGTGATATGCCAGTTACAAGCAGAAATGCTGACATATTTGAGTGGCCAAAGAAAGTTTGGGAGAGGGACATTGGACATGAATCTGTGACTTGAAGAACAAGTTGGTAAAATAAGTATCACTAAAGTTGCTCTCCTCCTTTGACTTTTAATTCTAGAAGGCAATACAGCGACTTTGATAAATGGGAAATTGGGTCAGTTGAGGAAAAGTATAAATGCCACTGAAAAGCAGGTAGGTTCACTGACAAATAGGGCATGGAAACTAAGTTGCTAGTGGGGTGGTAACTATGGCATTTTTCTCAAGAGTTCTGTACCTAGGGAAGATTTGTTCCCTAACATGAGACTTTTAAAAAGGACTGATTACCTGGACTCAAATTTATTTTCATTTGTAGGTTTTTTTTTTTTAACTACTATAATACAGACCCCAATGAAATACTAACGTTGGTATATTGTGAACTGAACTTTCACATCTTTATTACAAGAAAAACACAAAATATCTGAAACATATTTGATAGGAGTCTGGGGGTGAAGAGTTAAAAAAATGAAAGATATATTTGAACCAAATTGTCATTTTTATAGGCCTTTTGGTTGCCTTTTGGCAATTTCATGTGTTTCATCCTAAGATGACCACTAAGGGCTCAGTGTTTCTGGTTAAAGAGAAATTTTATACTGGCCCTTTATTTTACATTTCCTCTTTATGTAATCCATATGTCTATACATTATTGAAATCCAGCACTAAATCCTGGCTTTATAACAGCTCAAGGTTCATTTCTTGGTCTAGTTTTCCTGCATTTCTAAGTATAGCTTGATTTTTTTTTTAAGCCAAAGCCGATTTTAATCAGAAAACAAATTCAGTCTTGATTCTGTGTTCAGGCTCTGCAGTGTTTCTGGGAACTAGTTTAGCCACAGTATGCAGGTTAACTAGAATCTTTCATCACCCAGCCTTTCTCCCTAACTACATTTAAGATAGTTATGACGGACTCTCAAGCAGGCTTTTTTTTTTTTTTTTTTTTTTTTTTTTGAGACGGAGTCTTGCTCTGTTACCCAGGCTGGAGAGCAGTGGCATGATCTCGACTCACTACAACCTCCACCTCCCGGGTTCAAACGCTTCTCCTGCCTCAGCCTCCTGAGTAGCTGGGATTACAGGTGTGTGCTACCACGCCTGGCTAATTTTTGGGGTTTTCTTGGTTTTTTTTTTTTTGATGGAGTCTCGCTCTGTTGCCAGGCTGGAGTGCAGTGGCACAATCTTGGCTCACTGCAACCTCAGTCTCCCGGGTTCAAGCGATTCTCCTGCCTCAGCCTCCCAGGTAGCTGGGATCACAGTCATGCGCCACAATCCCCAACTAATTTTTGTATTTTTAGTAGAGACGGGGTTT